AAAGTGTGCATTTTAGTAGGTTTTTCCATTTGTCAAAGTCATGATATTGATTATAGGAAGAGTTTTCGATCAAGTAGACTGGTATAGATTCTTCTAGAGAAGTGAGGTATAAGTTTTTCAAAGCATAGCATTAATGTTTTGGATGTTAATGGTTGAATGGTATTAATGACAGGAGTGTTATTATGAATGATCCAGCATAGTTATGATTAGTGTTACATCATTGAAAATAAATTTACGATTTTATTAAGTGAATTGAAAAATAAGTCTACATTTTTTTGTATTAAGTTCCATTAGCTATAAATCTGAATTTTAATGGTGTTTTATGGAATTTTGGAATCGCAATAAAGATTAGTAAATCTGTTGTATTTTGCATTGAAAGTAATATTGAGTTCTTATGAAAAGTTTATCCTGTTATTATGATGTTTCTGTAAGGTTGGCTTGATAAGTAGTTGCGTTGAGAGTTCTTTATGAATAATTCTGCGTAGAATTGTTTTCATATAATGCTAAAGTTATTAGTTGCTTTATCTATTTTTGTAATAGTAAAAAGCTTTTTTAATTTTAATATCTGATGTAAGTTGCGACAATTCAGTGTACTTTTAAACTTGAGGTGACTGATTTCTGTGGATATGCGTTGAAGAATTTTAGCTTTCCATTTTTAAGAAGGTATCTATGGTAAATTCAGTTGATAGCTTGCTTTAACTATAAATTGTTGATGTTGTTTTCGAAAGTCTGTAACAGTAATTTGTAGTCTGTTTTTCTGACTGGTCTAAATTTTGTACCATAACTCATTAGTGTTTTTAGTTGATGGTTTTGTATGATTTCAGGTTGCCAGTAATTATGTGCTTGTGATGAGAATCTACGTAATTGCCTGTAAATTGGTGTCTTACAATGTCATTCTTCAGTGTCATCTATTTCATGGGGTTAGTCGCAAGTTGCTTAAGGTCCTTTGATATTTAAATGCACCATGGTATGTGTCAACTGCGGGAAGTAATCTTTACAATCTTGATGATTCTTGAGAAATAATATTGTCAAACTGCGGATGTAGAAAATTGACTTTAAAATAAATTTTGCGTTGAGTGAGACTATTAGAGAGTCTGAAAAGACTAAAATCGAGAATCATGTCTTTAATGATTTGTATGTCGTCGTAGCTTTCTTGAAATTTTTTAGTTTGATAAGGAATTTATTATTACAGGAGTGTACCAGTTGAGAAGTTTCTTGGGAAAGTAGTCTGAGTCAAAAAAACTTTCAATTGTTTTTTTTCAATGCAATTATCCAAGTGGATAAAAATCTCGCATTATTTTTTATTTTGCTTCCTCTTTTTCCTCTCTTTTTTTTTGTTTGCTGTAGAGTTTAAATTGGGCTGAAAATAACTTCTTAGAAGTATCTCTATGACTATGTATATAAGTGTTAAGTCCATATGGATAAAGTTGAACGTTGTTTTAGTATATAGAGAATTCCTGAAAAATTCGTGTTTTTGGATTGGGTATTATATCTAGTATCTGAAGTTGAATAGAGTTGAAGTCATGGGTTTAAAGTGCTCTATTCTGCTGTATTGAGTTGTGATGGTGTACTTATTTTACTGTTATTTTTTTGTGCGTTGAATTTTTTGATTTGAGCTCTATGGTTATTGATTCGAAAGTTAAGATTGTTTTTAAGTCTGTCCCTATATATTTTATATGTCAAGTACCGCATGTAATCATGTAAATACAGTTAAATGTTTTTCATAGAAATGTTTTTTTGGGTTTACCTGTAGCAGGCATGGCGTTAAATTTTCAAGTTTGTCATCTAGTGGATATCAATCATCTAGTATATAAGTGTTAAGTCCATATGGATAAAGTGAACGTTGTTTTAGTATATAGAGAGATTCCTGAAAAATTCGTGTTTTGTGATTGGGTATTATATCTAGTATCTGAAGTTGAATAGAGTTGAAGTCATGGTGTTTAAAGTGTTCTAATTCTGCTGTATTAAGTTGTGATGGTGTACTTATTTTACTGTTATTTTTTGTGCGTTGAATTTTTTGATTTGAGCTCTATGGTTATTGATTCGAAAGTTAAGATTGTTTTTTAGTCTGTCCTATATATTTAATATGTCAAGTACCGCATGTAATCATGTAAATACAGTTAAATGTTTTTCATAGAAATTGTTTTTTTGGGTTTACCTGTAGCAGGCATGGCATTAAATTTTCAAGTTTGTCATCTAGTGGAATGACATTTAGTGATTTCATTATGAGTTAAACTAGCAAGATATAAAAGTAAGGAGGCTGCTAACCTTCAATACAGTAAAGTTTTTGTATAAGAACTTTAAAACTTAAAAAGGTTGGAGATAATATATAAAGTGGGTACATTAGGTAAGAGATAAATAGCGCTAATAGCTGCTATTTAGCATATCAAATGTTGTATGAATTAAAATCCATTTAGTGCGAATACAAGTTATTATTACTTGCGCAATTGCTGCAAAGTTAGTTAATAATAATTTATTTCCTAAACAGTATTGATTAATTGAATATATTATCTCCTAAGTTTAATTAAAGTAGAATTATTTTTAAAAGTGTGCATCCATACTTTTAAGTTATATTTTGAAAGATGTTTTTGAAGTAATTTGAAAGCAAAATGTTAATAATGTTTTTAACGGGGACTGGAGTTAAATCATCACGAAGAATAATATTACAATTGTAAAAGTAAAAATTAAAACATGTAATTATTGTCATTGATCGGAAATTAGTTTTCAAGGGGAACAAACCAACTCCCGTTCAATGATCAATAATTGATAAAAATACGTAAATATGAAAGTGTTTCGTCTTTACTCGAGTTATAAGTTAAAGCCAAACCGGCAATTCTAGTCAGGCCAAATATTTCCGCGAATAGTTGTTACTCAAAGAACTTAAGATGAATATTAATTAAATAAATAAGATTAATATTAATGTAAAAGATAAATAGTCTTACGTGCGTAGGGTTTCGTAATGGATTGGATGCACACAGACCGATGATACTTGATAGAATTTATTTTTCAAAAAGAAACATTTTATTGTTTTGGATCTTTCTATAAAAGTACTCGTATAGCTCTTCTCAGAATAACAGAGCACACACACAGTTTGAAGTAGTAACTACAGACAGTAGTTATCACTTCAAACTACTAAGAACGTTAACACAACGCAATGCAAAGCGTCTCTAAAGAGCGAAGCTCGCAAGATTTCTCAATCCTCCGAAGTTACTCTGAACTGAAAAACTGGAAATTGATGCTCTCTCTAGTTTTATATAGTTTCTTACCCGCCGCCGAGAAAACTCTAGTACGTTCTATTTACTGGAAGGACATACGGTTAAAGTTACATACCAGAGTCATTTCAGTTACAGTTATACAGGGACCGGATCAAAATATCTCCAAATTTGGCAACAAAAATAAGTCGCCAAAGCCATCGCCAGCTTGGCGATATCTCGCTAATTTAGCTAGATAGCCTCAATGTTACCCCAATGTTAAAGAGACTTGCCCCTGTAATCTTATTTTTCAGGCAGAGCTTCGTCATTCAGATACTGGAATTTCACTAAAATTATTTAAATGTTTGTATATTTATATATATACATAGATTTTTCTAAGAATTTTTAAAGAATTTCTAAGAATATTTTACATTTGAATGAAAGGCAATAATCTGGCGATAAAGATGGTTTGTTAATGTTATAGTTGCTCGCATTAACTTAGATAAGAGACATTCCGTCGGAGGATTCTAGTTCGAACTGTCGGATCAGGATCCTTATGTGGAAAACAGATTTCGAACTTCCGTTCTGTCTTTTTAGACCTGTAGAGTATGAAAGTTTTAATACGCTATTTTCACAACTTCTATTTCCGAAAATGCACGATTACTTCATTTCTCGTAATGGACATACATATGCGCAGGAAATACGAACATGTTGGTTTGTTTTCCAATAGCGAGAGAACTTCTCAAGGTCCCGTCGTTTCTATTGAATGACACGCATTTTTTTTTTTTTTTCCCCCTCATTTTTTCACCCTTTCTCCGCACACTGCATGCGAAGGCCATTTAGCGTATTGTATTGTACATTAAATAGGAAGTACGCAAGTTCTTTTTAGCGCTTTATTTCAGAGGCTTTTCGAGGTATTTAAACTAAAAACGGAAACACGAGCATCCGTGAGCTCTAGTTCTAAACGGATGCCGCACGGCGCATCGCTCGTAAATTTAAGGATTCCCGATAAACGCCCCCTTTTTGCCATGCATTACTTTTTAGCTATTTTCGTGTATTATATTTCGTGTATTTTCGTGTATAATGAAGAATCTATATGTATGTACTCGTAATTTATGTGAATTCTGTGCTTATTGTTCTTATTTTTTGGTTTAGGGATAATGAAGTGCATCAATAAAGTTTTCAAAAAACAAACTTTGCAACAAAAAAAGAATTTCTTCTAACAAAACTAAGAAACTAAGCCTGTTTTTCTGAAGAAACTAAGTATATCTTTCTAATATTTGGGGGAGAAAAAAAAAATTATTTTATCTAACAAAACTAAACATGTCTTTCTTATACAAGAAACTTCTCTTACAAAGTTAAACCTGTCTTTCTTATACAAGAAACTTATCTTTTCTTACACCTATCTTTCTTATACATATCTTTCTTTATCTAACAAAACTAAATATAACTTTCTAATGTTAAAAAACAAAACTTTTTTTTCAACACTTATCATTAGTTTGCAGCGTCTTGCCATGTAAATTTCAAATGTGGAAGTGTTAATATATTTTGCGAAATAAGTAATAATTTCCAAATATAGGCAGACTATAATTCTTGTGATTTATTCTCACTTAAAACAAAAATCATGACAAGAAACGCCGTCTGCCAAAACATTTCAACAAAACTTGTTCTAACTTCATTTCTCGTAATGGACATGTGCGCAGGAAATGCGAACATGTTGGTTTGTTTTCTAGTAGGTTGAGAGAACTTCTCATGGTCCCATCGTTTCTATTGAATGACGTCCGACTTTTATGTTACTGCAAGGCTTAAATTGCGCCGGAGTTCTCCGGTACGTCTTAGTTTTTAGGATCAATTCTAATTCTAGCCAGAGCGCACCGGAGCCCTGAATAAGAAGGCTTCGGCACTTCTTTTATGTAACTGGACAACAATTTCAGTAGACATTTAATCTCGAAAATTTTATTTTTAGCAATAAAGTGTATTAAAAATCGCTTATTAAATTTTATCTCTTTACGTTTTATTTAATTCTAATTATATAATTACTTTTATCTTTCCATATTGTTGCCCAGACGGTATAGTTTGTTAGAGTAGCCTGGAACCGAAGGGCCCGAGTTCGAATTCCGGAGAAGACATGGATGTTCGTAAGTGTATATTGTCGGTGCGGCATGGCGGCACTCTAAATATGCAGCGAGCCGAAAGTTCTCTCGTGTGGATTGGTGAGAGAGGAGAGGGGTGGAAGACCCGGATCCCCCTCCGAGGTGCCCTCCCTCAAAATCGAGGGTGGAAAATAAGTCCATCCTCTCTCCGAAGTAGGCTCTGGCAACCATTGTTCTATGTAATAGGGAACAACAATTAACAATAACATTTATTTTTATTAAATAATAATAAATTAATTATGAACTCGTGAAATAATAGTTAATAAATATGTATTATCATTGATATTATTAATAATAAATATTGAATATCAATTAAATAATAATAATTAATTTGATAATCTTTAACTTTTAATTTATAATTATTAACGATTTTAGTCATTTTATTTATTTATTTTCTTTTGTTCCACTTTCCTGACGGTCTTCCATAGGGCTCTGGCACTTCTACTTTAAGAAATTAAGCCCTGAGTTACTGATTAACACTTTTAGTTAATTCAAGGAATATTTTGCTTATTTATTTTTTGCAACAAAGAAATAAGAAGATTTCTTTGTTGCAAAAAGAAATAATAAGTGCCGAAGCATTCTTATTATTTTTTGAACAAATTATTTGATTTCAAGGAATATTTTGCTTATTTATTTTTTGCAACAAAGAAAGCCTAAAATAGAGAAAAAATAATATATTTCGGGGAAAAAAAAAAAAAAAAAAAACTTGAAGTCATTGTTTCAGTATTTAGTACCAGATCTATGCAAATAAATTTCAACAATACAAGTGTCCGAAAACAAATATGAGTCATTGTAGCCTTCTTATACCAGAATCTTATCTAAGAAAGCTAAACATATCTTCCTTATAAAACAAATTTATCTCTTGAAACTAAACATAGCTTTCTCATGGAAAAACATATGTTTCTAATTTCTAATTATCCTTAACATTTATGTATATTTTATGTTAACTCATTTGCATCTATTGAGAGATTCAAGTCCTTACATTAACCTGATATTCTCGGGCAGTTTCTGCCTAATTCAGTTAAACGACCAATCACGAGTACTTTTCTGAATTTTAATGCCTTTTATATGCACTTAATCAGCAGCCTGTGGTTCATCGCAATTATTGTAACGTAATACGCCAGTAAGTTAAGTCTACAAACATATCCGTTAATGACGCGGTTTCCAGAAATTCTCTGCGTGTAACTCTAGAAAAGTTTCAAATCCGTGCATTAATTTGAATCACTGTGAAACGTGACAGACAATATTTGCTCCCCTTCCGTTGTTCCTCTTGCCTCCAGCAAATCCAATTAAAGGATTTTGTGGACCAATGATTTCCCTTACAGTCTTTCTCGTTCATCTGCGAACAAACGTTATTGGTTTCGCCGATTCGTTCGAAAGTGTTCCCTGGCCGACATCCACATGTCGAATCTGCCCGGGCAGAAGTCTCGATTGGGGTTCACGAGCACCCTGTTGGTCTCTCGAAACATAACATATTGGAGGCGTTGCTTGGAATTGGGGATGAGGAAACAACGGTATCGATCACGTGACAGAATTTAAATCGACTCCTTGTCCGTCTGCAGAGAGTTTAGAAACAAATATTTTCTTCATTTTTTAACTGGTTTCCACGTTAGGGGAAACGACGTAAACTGAAATAATGCGAGATAAATAGTTTTATTTGGGGAGTTGTTTTCTGCGTCTTTGGAAAGCGGCCTAAAGGTGTCGACATATTGGGATAAAAAAAGAAAAAAAAAAAAAAAAAAAAGAAATTCATTACTCACGTACTCTTTGTGTTCCTCAAAAATGTGAAAGAGATTTCGGAAAGGGGCCACAAATGTCAAACTTATATAGAATTTTTTCTTGATAAAGCGCATACCATACTTTAAATGTTGATACTATCAGAGAGCTTTAATGAAAGGTTCTTAAAATTTTAAAAATATTTGCGTTATTTACCCCTTTCTCAATGCGTTCAGAGAATGAACTTCCCTAAATTTTAAAACAGATTTCTCCACATAGAAATTGTTTTCTTCTTACTAACTTACAATCCCTTGCTAACTACCTGCAAAGGTCACGTCGAACCTTTCACTTCTAACCATTGAACTTTATGCCAGCCTAATATGCGCACTAACCCACCGCGGCAAAGTAAACGCAACCGACATTCAACCTGCGCCTTCGCAGAATCGGCTGCAGATTCATCTTCTTTTATTACTGATGGACGATTCGAGGCCTAAGGAGTAGTAGAAACAACGATAAAATTAATAAAATAAAAGGGGGGAGGAAAAAGTGTATCATGCACATTTGTGTTATATATCTGGTAAACTGTTTATCCCCCGATTTTCAAGATCTCCCAGTTCTCTAATAAATTGAATAAGCGAAAATGTGAAACGCCAAGATGTTGATGTTATTGCTAGTGCTGGAAATAATAACTTAAGTAAACATATATAATAAGTAGGCAACTCATGTCTTAAATCTCATTCATCTCATATAATATCTTAAAACCAATATCCAAACAGTTCGCAGAAAGTAAATCATTAATTTAGGTCAGGCTTATAACATGCTATTAATTGTATTATTGAATCTTAAAATTCGCAATTTCAAATATATCAAAACATCTACCTATTTTCCAAAATATAATACAAGTCGTAAAATTTAGGTTCCATTTTAAATTTCTTTAAAAATCGTTGCCATCCACTCCTTCAAAGCAAAGAATAATTAAATGAAACACTTTGATATTTTCCAATCTTTTCAGATACCGAGTTAGTATTTTTATGTGTTAATAGTTCGTATTAACATAGTGAATAAACATGGCAAATAAATAAATAATATAAAATAAAAAATAAACATTTGGAACCGTTTTTATAACTCCAAAAACAGTTTTTACAGGTGATATCGGAAGCGAATCCGGATTCTTTCATTAATTTACATGCCAATAAATAGTACAATATATATATATATATATGAATTATGGTAACACTTAATTATATATATATATATATATATGAACTAATTAAAGTAAAAAGAACAAACGGAAAAAGACCTATGTGGTCAAAATGTTTGCGCATTGTGCTGCAAAATTTAGAAAAAAGTTAAAAGAAAATACCTAGTTCGCACACTAAAAAGTTTCTTAAATACTGTGGTTCCGTGAAAAAATTAACATAAGCAAAATAAGGTGCAATGAAATGTGTTAAAAAGAAAAAAAAAAAAAAAATACAAACCCTTGAATATTTACAAATAAAAATCAATACTAATAGTAAGCAATATGCTAATCAAAGCAAGGCATATTTAAAACATTAATATGGATATATATATGAAATAAAGGGGGCAAATACGAGAGGGAACATGGTATTAAATAATGAAAAATCTGCATGCATGAATGTTCGATCTTCGCATTTAGGAAGGACAGCGCCACCAGCAACCATCCAAATTTTGATCATACGGATTTTTGATTAACAAACTCAGCGACTCTAAAGCAATGCGCAAGATATTCGTTTGTAATTTAATCAGAAAACTCTGATTTAAAAGTTTTGTGTTGTCACTACCCGAAATAAAATATTTTTTATCTTCCCCGTGTTATGTTGGGATTCTGCAAACAGTAAGATATTTAATTATTGTTTCAAATTAAATTTGGTACTTTTCCGTTTCACCGGCGCAAATCTCGCCAAGCAGACTTTGTTGGCGATTCATACAGTATACAAATAAAAAATGTTAACAAATGCTAGTTATTTTGAAGGCATAAACATTTTAATATGGTTTATAATTTTATAAAAAGCCAATAAATAAAAACAATAAATTTGTAAAAAAGATATTAATTTAAGAATTTACCATGCTATCATGGTTCAACATCATGATTCGCCGCTTCGTATCACGTGACCCCAAGTGATCTCATCTCACGTAAACTACGCTACAAAAATCTAATTCTCTCAGTAATTATCTACATTAATTTCAAGCTAAATCTTAATTTAAAATACAAGTTTAAATGCAAGAAATATTTCAATTGGTACAAATAGCTTTTTCAGAAATTATGTAAAACCGTAGTGCTTTACTTTTCGCTAGAGCATTCTCATTACAATTGATGAATTTAACCCTTGGTTTTGCCTTTTCTATATTTTCGCCTTCGGGTGAGCAGTGTGATTGCATCCTAATTGACTTAATTACCGCGAATGGTCTTAGGGCATAAAATTTAATTATCTTTGTAAACATTCTATGTAAATGCCAGTATTGAAAGAAACAATCAATCTGGTAAGAAATGTCTGCGACTTGTTTGAAAAATGAGGCGTAAAGGTTACCAGCGAAGATATTCCGTTTGTCATCAGTTGTACCATTATTGGCGACTTTATCGTTTGTGCCGGCAAAACGGAAAAGTACCTTAAATTTGTCTATTAGTAACAGACTAAGCGATTTCAAAGCAACAAACGCAATTTGTGCATTGTTAATAACTCGTGTCTTATTAGCTTATCCCATTCAAATCATTATATGTATTTCGTTTTTTATGATAGCTATTATAGGCAGCTAGTTTAAACTAAAAATACGTTTGAATTTTATGTTTTTTTTTTTTTTTTTTTTTTTTTTTGTTTGTTTGTTTGTTTGTTTGTTTGTTTCGGTTTAGCATATGATTTATATACGAATGAATGAAATTTAGCATTAAAAAAAAAAAAAAAAATCCAGTTGTCTTTCAAATGCAGAAAAATCATTTCTTTTAACGGTTCATTCTGTGGTCTTTATGGCTTGTTGACCGCTATATGACTTGCTGATAAATGCATAAATAACTAAAATACAAACTTTAACATTATCTTCTTGCTTCTAATTTTATAATCTTAAAAGCACAGAACAAGAATGAATAAAATTTTACCCTATAGAAAGATCTGAAAATGCAAAACTGAAACGAGGCATGAAACCCGTTAAGCTTACAGGGAAAATAGGGCAGCTCTAGAACTGGGTTAACATTAGTTTTGCAGAGCATTTGTTTAGAAAATAGAGAAATGTAAGGTGAAGATTTAAAAAAAAAAAAAAAAAAAAAAAAAACTTCACGGATGGAAATGTGTTTCCTGACATCCTAAACATTAATGATTTTAATATTTTTTTTCGCTTAAATTTGCAGAAATTGTGGAAAAAATGTGAAAAACATTAAAAAATGCTGTCAAGCATTTTAGCTAAAAGGTCTTTTCCTTTTGATGATGAGAGACCTATGTATGATCACCCTCGAAATAGATAGAATTTCGATCAAAATTGCCTAATGTTAAAGTTTACACTGGAGTTAAAAAATGAAAGCGAAAAAGTCTTAAATAAATAAATAAATAAATAAATAAATAAAAAAAAATCTGAAATGTTTCAGATTTTAAATTACGTCCAAAGGGGCGTTTTTTAACATTTTGTGTGTTACCTTTCTTTATTAAATATCATGTTCCTCGCACTTAAACCATAAGATCCAGTGCAACAGCAATATCGCAAAATAGTTTTAAAACGAGCATATCTTTAGAATTTCCCGATACAGAGACTCACGCGCTGGAGATAAAAATGTTTTTTCTGCACAACGTTGCCATTGCTCGCTTTGAAATCCTTGAGTTTGTTAATCAAAAATTCGTCAAAGTTTTAAAAAATAGGAAATCGATCATAAAACAAATTTCAAATTTCAAATTTGATCTTCCACATGCTCATATCCGTTGGAGGATTACGTTATTCAAAATTCGATGACTCTATGTACCGTTGTTTTATCACAAAACGAGAAATATACATACATTTATGCAGATTTTTCATTATTTAATTTCTTCAAATATAATGCAGGACTCTAACATTTTGTGGCAACAGTTTGAAAAGTGAACCGACATTTATGAGTCCGACGCAAAATGCCAAAACGAAACTAATAGTCCTTCGGGATTCAAATCCCTTTGGACTAATAAATAAATAAATTGATTGATTGTAAAATCACCTTCGATATTTGAAACTTTTATAACGATTATACATGTTGCGGCCCATAAAGTAACCGTTTACTTTCTCATTAATAAAGAAAAGATTACTAATCTTCAAATAAATTCATCGTTTTCAAAATAATCGCCAGAGGAGTCTACACAGTTTTTGCAACGTTTTTCACGTCATCGAAAACACAGTTTATAAGCATTGAAATTAACTGTTCGCAAAGTACATTTAATATCTGAAGCCTAACGACGTTCTATCTTTGGTTTATCTTCAAGGCTTTCGTGTCCCCATTTAAAATGGTTGTACCACTCATACTCTCGTGTTCTTGATAACAGTCAATCATCATTTACTGTGTGAATCATCTTTAAGATTTCGTATTAGCAAATTTACCTGATTTGTAACAAAATTGAATGCTATAACGTTGCTCCATCTGAAAGCTTTTTTTTTTTTTTTTTTTTTTTTTTTTTTTTTTTTTTTTTTTTACACAATGTCTTATCAGTAAATGAAAATGACTTCAACGATTCTATATGCAAATGGCAAAGTAACCAGTTTAAACGGATTTTAATAAGAGATATGACTCTTTCTAAATATACATTTATTCTTTCACTTTTTTATTTTATCCTTTGATCTTTTAAATTTGTCCAGTTTGCTTTATGGGATTTTTTTGATTAAAATGGTTATATATTTTTGATAATTGAATTAATTATATAATAATTTTATAATAATGATTTATATAATTGATTGCTTTCAACTTTTCCTATAGTAGTTTTGCATAAGATTTAAATAAACAATTCTTATGTCTCTTCCCAGGTGCTGATGTGCATGGCCACGTGGTCGTCTTACCTGTGGTCGCCCTGGCACGAAGCAATTTTGGCCTGGCTCCGTTTGCTGGAAGGTTTGCTCGTTCCGGTGCTGCTCTTCTGTAAAGATCATGCCCTCCGCAGCGCTCTCAGAAGGACATTTCAGAGAAGAAGCGGAGCCTTGTCACCCCTCGTAGGTAAGAAAAAAAATTGACTTTACAGGTATACCTCCCATAAAGGTTCCTTGAAGTTACTGTTTTATACAAGATTAACAATTAATACAAAATATAGGGATAAGTTTCGAAAACTTTGAAAAAAAAATAGTTATCACTATTGCCTCATTTTAATTAAGATTTTTTCCAGTGTCAGACGAATTTTTCTCCTTTTTCATAAAGGATTCAAAATTAGCATTTTTATCTTCAAAGAAATAATTTTATTTTTTAAAAGTTGTTTAATTACTTTCAAACACAGTTTGAGACTGAAATATAATTTTGCCATAATAACTCTTGAAAACGGAAAAGCTCATGAATAACAGATACCTAAAAAGCTTTTTCCAAAATCGCAACTACGTAATTTGCAATCTACCATCTGAACTAAAGCAAAGATACACTCTGCATAGAAAAAAAGGGGGGTAGTTCTATATCTCTCGTTCTGCTGGGCCTATTAACGAAATTTAATTTGCGATTTTCATGTCTGATGGTAAGCCGACTTAAGGATATATATTACACTCATACATAACATTGCTTTAGCATAGGTATTTTGACACAAAATAGGATTTTTTCTGAAGTGACATACATATTTTTTTTTCATATTTCGTTTCTACGACTCAAATTATGCAAAAATATCAAATTTAATAAAAACCGAACGAGTAATTTTTATAAAATTCGCTCTCAAGATTTTATCTTCTCAATTTTTAATGAATTTAATATCTATTTATTAATACTCCTTTTTTATTTAACATACTTGATTCCTTCTTTCACATTTCAAAATTTAGGTTCAATCCAAGTAAAGCTGATAGATACTTTATGATTTATTTTTAATTTTTTTTCCCTGTCGTAAGAGTAAATTTTTACTTTTGCCATATTATCGTTTGATATTTTACTTAACTTCATTTTATATGCAACGACATTTATTTTTCAGATTTCAAAATGCTGTATCTTATATGTATTCAATAGTTCTGAATACGTCAAAGAATACATAAAAAATTATAAATAAAACATCCTGTCTTCTGCTACAGAAATGTTTAACAGAGGCAAAATTTACTAGAATATAAGATTTTTCCTGTGTGTAGCAAAGGCATCAAATAAAAATGAATCTGAAGATGTTTTATATTCAAAGATATTTCGTGGCATTAAATGCATGATAGATTTCTTAAACGAACTGTTGTTCACATTTGAAAGCACCCTTAATATTATCATCAAAGATCCTTTTTTCCAAAGTAAAATATGTTTGCATGTAAAATAGGATTTACAATAAACATATTATTTAAAAGTCAGATTCTGGTTTGTCAATATCTGAATTATAATCAGATAATAATTAGTAATATGATAAATGATGCTTATTTATACATTTATTTTAACATAATTATTTCTGTTACATATTTTGTCATATTAGAATTTATTAAAATTTTTCTTCTAAAATAATTTCGAAAGCTGTCTATCTCTGTAGGCCTACTGCTAATTTTACATCAATCAAAAGTTTTAACCTACACTTCTACTCTTTTTCTCAACTCTGCCAAAAGTATAAATAAAGTGAGTTAGGGTAAGGAATGATAATTTTAGTTCGGAAAGAGAGTACGGGCAATTCAACCACTGGCAGGTATCTCATAGGTAACGGGATTATTCGCCGTCAAGTCATATTTTTCTGTGTACGACTGTATTATTTTATTTTAAGTTGATTTAAACTAATAACTCCGTTCAGTTTAATAATTTAACTTGATAAATATTTTATATAAAATAATTTATAAAATGTTTTTGTGTACAGTTTTTTTTATACAAATACACCGTTACACATGACATATTAATTTTAAGAGAGTAAAATGCTGACAAGACTCCAAAATAATTCCGTTTTCCCTTCAGATTTCATAAAAATGTGAATTTCCTGCTTATAGAGAGATTTCTCTGAACTAGCCGATTAAAATTTCAAGAAATTTTGACGAATATTGTACCCGCATAATTTTAAAATCGATAATATAACTTCTGTTATATCAGAAGTCTCTTTCATACTGACATAATTTTCCAACTATATGTAATTTCTTTACATCTCATACTTGTAAATAGCTCACCAGCGGCCGAGCGGTAAAGTCGCTGAACACTGGTAGTTCGGTTCGAGGTTCGAATCCCGCGAACGGGCTGGCTGCATGGGCGTTTTCGTGGTTTTACCCATGTGTAACTTGTATACGAGCCAGTTTCCCTTAGAAAGTCCTCCACGAAAAGCATCCCTCCCCTTAGGCAGATAGCCCTCGTGTGCTTTGCCATAATTAAATACACCAACACATACTTGTAAATAACTATATATATTACAAGCAACCTTTATTAAGTATACAAAAGGTAAACAGAATTATTAAACTAAATAAATTTAATACGAGTATAATACGGCAAGATAAAATACAGTCACGTAAGGAAAACTATGTGTTGAGGGTGAAACGCCCATGGTGAAATGTCGGCGGCGAGAAGTCCTAGATCCTATCTCATGTACCTTCCGATTGGATAACTACATTGGTTTTCTTAGTTTAGAAAAGTGTGTTTAAAAATCGCGTATAAATTAGGTTCGATGGTTGTTGAAATATGGCACAGCATATGGAGACTGTCAGCTCAAGGGGAGGAATTTCTTCATGGAGGACTCATGTAAAGAAAAGTGGCTCGTATTTCACAAAGCACATGGAAAAAATCACGAAAGCCAACTATGCAACCATCTCGTTCGGCTGGGTTGGACTCGGGACAAATTAACAGTATTCAACAATATTTAACTACTCGGCCAGTGGCAGAACAACTTAAATTAGGTTATTAATCTCTAATATTTGCTATTTAGTATTAATTTTCTATTTAAAATATTTTCTATTCTCAGCACAAAAAACATAGTTTGTGTTTTGTTAACGAATTAGTGTTTAAACTGCCAAGCTGTAGTGCAAATGAACGTTCAGTTACATATTTGTATGAATTTTGTACATATGTAAATAATGTTAGTGAAATTATATGTAAAATTGTAGTATCTTTTGTATAATGTAACACTGAAAAGTCTGAAGAAACGAAGTTCTGCCGGGGAAATAAGATTACAGGGGCAAGTCTATTTAACATTGAGGTAAATGGCTACCTCATTAAATTGGCGAGATACTGCCAAGTTGGCGATAGTTCTGACCTCTTTTTTTTTTTTTTTTTTTTTTTTTTTTTGTTTTTTTTTTTTTTTTTTTTTTTTTTTTTTTTTTTTTTTTTGCCAAATTTGGCAAATCTTGCGAATATTTGGCGAAAATTTGTTTCGGTCGTTGTATAATTGTAATTAGCCTAAATACCTACTTAACTGTATCCAGTCCTTTAAGTAACTGCAGATTAATTTTATTTGCCTTCCAACAATTTCGAGAAATCGAAGATACAGGACATTTCTCAGCGGCCGGATAAAAACTATATAACCCCGGAGAGAGCATAAATTCTGAATTTTTCAGTTTAGAGTCGATTACGGAATACTGAAAGAGCTCCGTGGGAGCTTCGCTCTTTAGAGGGTCTTTGCTTTATATTGTGTTTAACATTTGTAGTAGTTTGCAATGGTAAATACTGATTGTGCTTTGTAACACTTAGAAGAGCTGAACGAGTACTTTTGTGAAAACTGTAAAGTGTTCCATAATTGTTCCAAAGTGTTCCATTTTTATTAGTTCCATTTTCGAAATGCGTGCTTCGATATTCATTTTCATTCGAATTCCTAGCACCCGACAACTATTTCGCCGACTTATCGAAGCTCAAGTAATCGATTGCATATATTCACTGTATGGCAAGTACGTAATCAGAGTGCATTAAAAATAGGTTACAGAGCTTACATTGACGCAAATTTCTTGCCTTAATGAGACAGATACCTGACAGGTAATGAGAGAGAAGCTGTTTTGTAGACGGCTGTTTTTGACATGTCTCTAATAGTAGATGTCGTATTCCTTTTGTCTTTTCCATGTCAAAAAGATTTTTTTTGGGGGGGAGACAACCTTGGTTTTGGGAAAGGAAAACAATCACAATCGCAAGCAGACAAATCCCAAGAACTCATGGGATGACTAAGTGCACATACTTATTTTGAGGACACTGCGGTCCTCCGAAGTGGTTATTGATATTGGTAGGATGATTCATTATTGTGCAGCAGAACGGTTTCCGACTGAATAAAGTTCATATTAAATATCGTCTGCTTAATTCTCATCTATTTAAGTCAGCTACTCAGCCAAACATTTAAAACTACAGCATTAAAACACAATAACACGCCGAACAAGTACTAATTCAGAAGTCAAACAACAAAAATCAGCGTTAATTTTCAAAATTTTCACAGAACTAGTTTCGATGGTTTTACCGAACCACCACCCTCAGCTGCAAAACCGCAAATGAACAAGATAGGAAATAATGATTAAATAAGATAAGAAAGCCTGGACAAGAATAAGCAATTGGAGCCATCTGTTGGTGAAACCAGAACTAAAACACAATTTCTTTAAAGGCCAAAGGCAAAGATGGATTGGAATAAGGATCGTTAACAAGAACAGAAAGATTTTTTTTTTAAATGTGAAATGCCTCTAGAAAATCCAGTTCTCCAACGGAAGATGTTTTTTTTGAATAATTTTGGCAGCAAAAAATTAAAAAGTGTGTGATTTTTCGGACCAACAATGTTGAGCAACAGAAGACTTCTGTGTTTCCTTTTTTTCTAACATCAATAAAATTTATTCTCCCATCAATAAAATTCCGTGTTCCATACTCAAGGACCCCATTCCGGATATGAATTCTTGGGGTGTTTATAGGATTCCTTGCCAGTGTGGTTTAATTTACATTGGCCAAACTAAGAGAGCCTTAAAATTTCGCGTCAAGGAACATGAGGCATATGTTAGAACAAGAAGATAATCGCATAATCTCTCCGTCTTTAGCTTAGATTCCAAGAGCGCCAACTGAATACAGTAATAATATTTTGTTGCATGAGTACGGGTTCGTAATGGATTGAATGCTGCAGAACCGATAATAGTTTGATAAAATTTATATTACGAAAATCTCAATATTCTTATCTGAATACTGAAAACAAATGTGGAAGAAGAAAGAACAACAATTCGAAATCCATTTCAAAGAAGTTGCGTGTTGTGTTTCCCAAGGGGAATAACCCTGAAGTTTACACCATATTTGCTGATGTTTTACACATAGTGAGTGCAGTGCGTCAAACATATGAGAAAATGGGCCTGTGCTAACGGAAAAATTATAAGAAATATCATCGCAAGTAAAAGTGAAGGGTGACTGAACAGTTGTGTGATTAAAATTATGTCATAGTGCATCATATCATATCAAAAAGGATGTCTCAGTCGAATTAACTGAGGATTCAAAAGCGTATATGACACTTTCCCTGTTGATGAAACCAATCTTTCCTTTCATCGCATGCCTTTAAAATGCCTAAAGACGTTCAGTGTGATGTGAGAAATACGAAGATGTTTCGAAAATGTTTGTGGTATACAGCTAACAAACAAACAAAAACATTGGTTGATTTTTAATACATTTGGGGAATGCCTGCAGAAAAAAAAAAGGCATTAAGAAGAAAAATAATTTTCTACACTAAATTCGGTATTTTTTTTTTTTAAATTTAAAATTGCATTTTTTTAAGCTTATGCTATTTGATTCTTTTGACTTTAAAAATAAAGTTTTTGACTACAATATGAATAATACTTAAAGCAATATGAATAATATCGCAACTCATCCTAAATTAAAATGTCGGTTATACATTTCTCATTTTTCATTATCACATATTTTCTTGAACGCCCCATTGAAAAATGAATTGACTGCTTTACTGTATTTTCTCTTTCAATATACGCAGCTTTCAATTGTGTCCTAATCTGATCAAAAAATATTCTGTAGAAAGGCAATTCAAATAAATAAAATCATATTCTCCAAATCTTATATTAAACACAGTTAGAATGAATAAATAGAAAATTTTTAAATAATTATCTGAAGAAATTTAATTCAACCATGAAGCTCGAGCAATTAAAATGAAATTCTATAAAGGAAAAAATATTCTAAAATTAACAACTATGATTAAAAAATATAATATAAAGAAAATATTTGAAAGAAAAAAACTATACACTTTTTTTCCACTCGTGCAAAATGAAAGGGGAAGTGAAACAGGTTATCATAAATTTAGAATTTCGTCAAGTGAATTATTCTTGGCGCGAGCTGAAAAGGTGCAATGAGACAAATTTTCGAGTTTCTCACTGAAATTTACAAAATGTGGTGTTTAGGCATAATTTGAGTCATAGAATTGAAATATGGAAAAAATTGGTATATCATTTCAGAAAATGTCCGATTGTTCAATTTCTAAATTAAAGCTGCTATAAATGATAGGACTACATTCTCCGGCGGATGCATATGCTTTATAGTATATCTAGGTTTCTCAGCGGAGGCTGATCGCCAGCATAACTCTGTAATACTCGTAGTATACACTGTTTACTCGTAGAATATATAGTGTAATAAAAATGCGCTTTCGCGCTGCCGATTTCGGTAATTTGCGTAACTTGTTGGGTTCGAAAGCAATGAAATTCCGTTGCACGGGATTTCTTTACTGGTAGGATTAAGCAATTAGAAGGGCCCTCTGAGCCGGCCTTTGCCCACCTCTGTTCCACATAATAAGTTGTTAATTTTATCACTTACATTAGTGGTCTCAAACTCAATTGCATGCGGACCGAATTCATAGAACTGACGGGCCGCATTTTTTTAAAAAATAAAATGAAAAATTTTTAATGAAAGAGAAAATATTTGAAATAAAGTTTAAATGTCGCTTATTAAATATTTATCAAACCATACATAAACAATAACAATAATATCGCAAAGGAAAAATTTCTAATTTATACTGATTTTCTATCAGAAATCTTAAGTCAGGTACCTGTAGGATATTTTTTATTTGTTACACTTTGTAATTCAAACATACTAACAACTAAACATTAAATTAGACTGACATTTCTTTCAAATGATTTTAACATGTTTCATTAATTATCAAATAATTTGCTTTAATTTAAAATTAAAATAAACAAATTATGAAAACTTCCTAAGTTTTCAAAGAAAAATTATCAAGTGGGACAAAACTTGAGAATAAATAATAGCAACCTTTCTTTTATTTATTAATTTTTTCTTTGACCCATGAATAAAAGTATATATATTTGTATGTCAGTTTATAAACATCCTTTTTCTCTTACCACATCTTGACACTTGATGGCGTTTCGATTCTGACCAAAACGCCATCAGTTCGATTCTAAAGTTTCCAACTTTGAAGAGAAATTATTTTTATCACGTATTGTACATGCTTATCAGTTAATCGGTCTTTTCCTATTAAATTTTTAACTGCGAAAAAAAGCTGCAACCATATAAATGTATTCTGAGAGAAAGCGATTATTGTTAGTGCAATATTTTTCCCCCTTGTGCTTTTATATTTTTTCACAAGTTTGAAAAAAAATTAACCCAGATTAGGTGTAGAAGATTTATATCACACTATAAATTAATTAATTCCATTTACAGATTTTCTATTGCGTTGTAGGGGAAGTTAAAAATAATATAAACTCCTATTTTAAATAAATGAGATCTTGAAATCTTTGCGACAAATATATATAACTGAAATCTCTTTGCTCTGCACCAGTTTGAGACCATGGACATGATATAAACATTTCCATTGGGAGATATTATGATAAATCATTTAAGTCGGTGTTTTAAAATGCGCTATTTATATTTAGAAAACCTGGAATATTAAAAATTATATCTCGGAAAATGGTTTATTTTTCCAAATAATCCGACACCAAATATTTACAACGTAAAATCATTCTATTAAGGTAGCATATTATGCCAGTAGATGGCAGCACCAGACTTTTGAAACAAGTATCCGTGGCATTTATGTCATTTTGCAAATGATGTCAAAATAAAATACTGTTTTAAAGTTACTATATAATCGATTTCGTCGCTGTTGTTGATATTTTTTTAAAAAATATTTCAATGTTATTTATATCTAATTGCAATATATTGCATTTCAAATGTTCCGTAGAGACAGCAGCACTAGTTAATCCTTAACCTGTGTTTTAAATCTGTTATATTTGCTAGCGGGTCGATATTCCTCGAGGAAAGTGTTTACATATTAAGATATTTGAAATTCAAAAATATAAATCGAAAAATAATTAAAGAACGAAAGAAAAGAAACTGAAGTGTGAAAATATCAAATTATACAAGGTAGCTGAGCATTTTTAAAGCGCTATTAAAATGAAACTGAAATTGCGTACAAAATGAAACATTTTGATTAAACATTTTGACATGTCATACTTGAAGGTAGGATTACAGGTTTTCAAGATTTGGAGATCAGAATTTTACTTCAAAACTTCAGAATAACAATCTCACCACTGTATTATTTCAGAATAATGGATAATAGCTATGAAGAAAAATTACTAGAAATTATCTTTATTACGGATTGTAAATGTTCGTCGGTCAATCGGATCCTTTTCAACTGAATGAAAAAGAATGTTCAGATATAATGTATTCCGAAACAACTAGATTAAACTTAGCGGAAAAAATGGTAATTGAGAGCATTTTGTTTTTGATAAGTACGTATAAAAGTTAATCAAATCTGTGTTTTCAAATTTTTGAATAAAATTTATATCACGTTTAAATTAAATAGCTCCATTTATAGATTCTCTGGTGCATCATTTATGTTCGTTTTTCACGAAAATAAAAATAATATAAACGCGAACTACCTAAAATATTGCGAACTTTGCAGCATCATATTTGTAATAAATATATAATTGAACTGTCCTCGTAAGCTGCATAAACTTGCTTCCGGGAGCCACAAATGGCTGTGGGTCGGCAGTTTGAGATCACTGGTGTAAGTGCTTAACACTTCCGGCTGCCGTTTAGAAGATCCGAAATTCGAGTTCCAGGGAGGGCGTAGATGATTTCTCTTATTTATCCCCTCCGAAAAATGCTAAAATAGGAAGGTTAAAAAATATCAGTGGACTGATCAAATAGTAATTTGATGGTTGGCGAGAATATATTTGAAATTTGCAATAGCTGACGTTAATTTAAATCTCACCTTTTCCTAATGCTTCGAATCTGTTTTCAGGCGACGACGGCCCTTTCCAAATGTATTTCGACAAAGATCATTTCCGTAAAAGAGGTACATTTGGCTCGGTGACTCCCATCGGGATTATCACCAACTACCGCCGCACGCCAGGAAAGAAGCGTCGCACCCGCAAAAGTAGTGGCAAGTACACGCTACCTGGTCTACACAACGGGGATTCGGTGTTGCCCAAGTCTTGTTTCAGTGCCAGCATATTGGGAACGGAACCGCTCAGCAAGCTATCCTGCGCCGACCTCACGTCCCTGGAGATGTGGCGCGAAGAAGACGAGGAAAATTTTTATGCCACCCTCTCTGACGATTTTAGGTGAGTATCGGTCGGTTATATCACAGACTCACGCAGACTCACTCACTCAGACGCATGGGAACGTCGTTCCCAAACTCCAAACACCACACAAACATTCAACGCAGATGACTCTGCGTTCCGGTCACTAAATGCTTTTCTTTGTCCAGCAATATAAGCATTACAAAACTATATTCACACACCTGAGACCTGAATTGCACGAAAAACTGAGATAAACGTCGACAATTTTCCTGCAATACTATTTACAAGAGGAAAGAAAACTGCTGGCAGTATCCGCCAGCTCCATGGAACCACTTTACCGTGGGATAGGCGAGTGCCTGTCTGAGTAATGTTCCACCAAACTCTTTCACGGACCCCACACATCCAGAAGTTCCGGGTGCGTAAAGCTAGAGTCTTCTTTTTAACTGACCAGAACAGAGTTCTCTCTGTTGATAATAGTCACTCATTTAAAAAATCATATTAAGTCTTATATTTTGTTATGCTAGCCCTATCTGGGCATATTCATGCCGTACCAACAGAAAGGAACTACAAAGAACCCAAAAATGTATCCTGAGCCTGATCATTGACAGTTCTTTGGAAAATTTGACAGTCCTACATGAATTTTGTGTTCTCACAAAATTCATGTCATGAAGGCATTTAGCTGAGGAATATCCAATCCTTTATGAATTTTGTCAGAACAACAAAATTCATGAAGAACTGGGTGTTCCTCAGCTAGGTGCTGTCTCTGACCAACTAGTGCACAACTTTCATAAAAGTCTTAAGAGAAAATAGCCATTCCATCATCCCAATTTATAATTACGATTACTGCTGGCCATATAATGCCGAAAGGCCAGTGGCTATATTAAACAATAAATATGTAAATCACTCGGAATTAACATTATGTTTCTGTATTTTGTATATTACTGTGTTCTGTAACTATCCTACTTACTCGTATGTGCTTGTGTGTCATGTGGTAAGACCGATTTGATTCTGTGCATGTCACATGTGAATTCTATTCAAGAACTCTTAGATTCTGATACCTCACCATATCGGAACTCGTATTTGCAGTCGTCGCCAGCTCGTCCCCCCTTTTTATACGCTGTGTTGCGTTCATATACTTAATTCGCGTTACTTATTGATAAATCGTCTTATATTCTGTGCATGCCTCGTGTAAACTCTATTCAAGAACTCTTAGACTCTGATATCGCAGCATGTCTGAAACTCGTATCTACACGTATGGGCGGCTTCTCCCACCTTTTCCACTATGTTGCGTTCATATCCTTAGTTTTCATTACTTATTGATAGGTTGTCTTGTATTACATATTTATTTTGGATCATTTTACAATTCGAAACTCAAATCAGTTTCTATGCATGTTGGACATACATTATTAAAGAGTCCGAGTACTTCGATGTCTTCCCCAATTTCCCTGGGATATGATTGTGACATCTGAGGTTTTAGCTTTTTAGAGTTACCAAAGACGCAGTGTTTAAAGGTAAATACGAAGTACCTTAGCAATACAGTAAAACCTGGATCATCCAGAAAGCTCGGGAAATTCCGGATAGTTGAACATATATATATATATATATATATATATATATATATAAGAATTCACGTTAGAAAAGCCAAATCAGAGGGAAAATTTTCTGCTTTCAAATTATAAAAACAATCATTTAATGTGTTACCAATATGAACTAAAATCCCTAAATTTAAAATTACGTAAGATTTCGAGTCGCTGTCTTACAACGGCAGTCTCGTTTATTTTACATGCACGGAATCTTAGTTCGTGTTTTCGATAGTAGTTCGAAACTCATTGCATCCTCCACAGCATCAGCCCCTATCGCATCTCATCGTCACATTGATGCAACTAGCCCTTCGTTGGGATTCGAAACCAGATCAAAATACGAACATTCAGTGCTTTTCTCCATTTAGCCGCCGGCGGGCTGATATCTTCAAGGCCGATGTCAAAAACCTAGCTGCTTTAGACTGTGTATGCTGCCTTAACTTTGATCTTGAGCTCATTCGCCCAGCCGGTATAATTAACAATGACGGCTATATGAATGAGTTCAAGACCAAGTACTGCCATACTGATGGGCTCAGGTTCGAATCCCAAAGAAAACATGGCTGTTTGTAAACGCATAGTGTTTGTACAGCAAGAAGACATTTAAGAAACACTGCAAGCCAAAACTCTTATCGAGAAGTTGGTGGCAGAGGAAAAGGAGTGGCCAGCCCTTAGACCGCCTGCCCGGGGATGTTCTTCCTCCGAATTGAGGTGGAATTGCGGTTGGACTATATCTGCACAACCAATTGATGAATTTCTGATGTCCGGTCAACTTGTACCCGCACCCAATACTGGGTTCAAATCCCGGAGGAGACTTGGATGCTTGTAAGTGCATAGTAATTTTGTAGCACTTAAAATAGGGCAGAGGCACTTAAAATACATATGTAAGGTATTTTCTCCCTCCTTACCATGTGGTGTAATTTGTACCAGGTCGGGTTAGCAACTGAGAAGTTCGAGACCCGCAAGAGCACTGCTCGTTTTTTACGTTTCATGCTCCGAAATAAATCTAATCACTTTACATAGGACAACCCGAAAGACATCTCAGTGATTAAGTAGTAGGTGAAGAAGGGTGTGAAACTCTTTACGTGCAAAATGGGGACGGAACTGGGCAAAGTCATACTGCCGTACAGAAGCAGTCCCGTACTGAAATTCCTGGATGTGTTTTAATGTTACTGTCAAATAAGTGAAATAAGTCATAACTGGATATTCATATTGATACATTACAGATATAAATGTCAAACTTACACACATTGAAACATTGCTAACAAATCTTTTTAAAACAGTTGTATATTGTTTAGAAGGACTAGTGAAGTTTTATGTCCTAACAGTTGCATTTCAATTTCTTTTCAGTTCATTCAGCTGCAAATCTGCGGACGACAGTGCCCTGAGCGAAGACATTAGAATCAACGAAGAGTTGTATGGAGGGTCGTTCACCACTATCGCCAACGACGACTTCGAGTTCCACGACACTAGGCCGTGTGGGGGCGAAGTCAAGATGAAACCCGCCCTCACCCAGAGTCCACCCCACACAAACAGTTTCAATGCAGGTGTTTCTAGAAATGTCTCTTTCAAAGGTTTGTCTTCATATAATAATACAAATAAATATATAAACTTATAAGAAATAAAAATATGCTCTCCCTATGTCTATAAGTCTTTAACTACATCTGTAGCAAAATAAAATAAAATAATAAACCATGATTTATAACTTAAAAAAGCTGGCAAGAGTACTGTGAAGAGAGAGGTTTACATCCAATATTTTACAGAGAAGAAATTCCATTTCTTTTTCCCATTGACTTTCAAAGAAAACTTCATCAAGACAAAGCAAAGTTATTTTTCGAAAAATACCACAGTATTCCTTGAAAAAATGAACACTAATACAGATATTGCGTATATACCGTTTCAACGTATTGCAGCCATAGACCTTATAAGAAATAGACTAACCCAAACGGGTTTTCTCCTTCGTCTGAGGCGTTGCCGGCTGTCACCTTGATTACATCCAAAGGAGTAGGGACGACTTGCAGAAATTTACAGTGGTTGCCTATTACAGCGTGTATAATCGTCAAGAAAAAGCTGATTGTAGCGCCTCATTTCACGAATTAGAATTTCTACATATTTTTATTTTTGAAATTGAGATCGATTTTTAAAAATTTAGCATATTTATCAAGCATAATTAACGTTCCAAATAATTATAAAGCTATTGCATGCTTTCAGGGCTGGATATTTTTTTAGCTTTTCCTATGCTGTAAGGAAATTTGTAACTACTTCTTTTAGAAAACAATATTTTATAACTGAACTAACAGAACATTTCAAACAAACAATTTTCTCTTGCAATTTTTATGCTTTTTATTGGTGTAAATAAGTAAAAAATACTAAAATATTTAAAAACGAACTTTTGAAAGTTTTGTTTAAAATTCTAAATTTTGCTGCTTTTTTAAAATTATAGATGAGTATTATAGCACAATTTCTATAAAGGAATTTTTTTCAAATAAATTTCATAATACATCACAGTGATAAGCACGTGTGACATCTTAATTTTTATACATTTAATTCTAATATTAAAATTGTATTTAACCGTAATAATTAATTTTGCTTGTATTTTATAGTGATTATTTTTTTAAATTTATTTTTAGTTCTGCATAAGATTTTTTTATTTACTGTTAATTTAATTTATTAATCCAAAGCGGTGGTAGCCGACAAAGGCTGTTAGTTTCGACGCGGCATTTTGCGCTGTTTTACTATAAGTGTCCGTGTCTCCTTGCAAATTGTTGTTACCAAATATTATTGCCCTGTAATATATGTAAAGAAATTAAATAATGTAGAATCTGCATGATTACATGCATGTTTCTTGCACTGTGACAAAAACGACGGTATCTAGAGCCATCAAATTTTGAATAATGTAATCCTCCACCCGAACATGGGCATCTGGACGGCCGAAATTCGAATTTCTCTTAATCTATTTCATATTTTGTAAAAATTTAACGAATTTTTGATTAACAAATTCAACGAGTTCAGAGCGAGCACTGTACGGAAAATAACAGTTTTATCTCGAGTGCGGAAATTCTAAAGATATGCTGTTTTCAAATGTATGTGGTTTACGGGCGAAGAACATGATATTCAATAAATATAGGTAATACACAAAACTTTAAAAAAGGTTCCTTTTGGGCGTAATATAAAATGTGAGTGCTTCTATATTATATTTTATCTTTTTTCACCCCGTCATTACGCTCAGAAAATTTTATGTTCCGAATTTTATGAATTATTAAAATAACTAATCCACTTTAACGTTAATAATTTAATGATCATATAATCAAATAAATATGATCGTTTTGTAATGTTATTATAGCTTGGAAAATCACTGCCTTAAAATGTTCATTAAATTAAAATTTTTTTTATAAGATCTTGTTTAATTTTACCTTATTTATTTCAAACCATCACGTACTATCAATCTTATTTAATTTTACTTTATTTTTACGCAAAATTAAGTTCATAAATTTTGTGCTTAGAGGTTTTACCGTTTCACCAAAGTAAAGATGTTTGTACAAGAATTACGCGTGAAAAAAATGCGCGAAACGCAGTAAAAAGTGCTTTAATGAGATATATTAAATCCTATTTGGAAAAAACTGTGGCTTTCATAATCTCATCACTATACAACGTATCACATTTAATAATTAAAAAGAGTTATGTGATACAAACGCCATAGGTTTTAGTGTTAAAGTAAACCAGATCGTCCCTAATCTTTCTTGCCGACATGTCGGTGACGTGCGTCCCGCCCACTGGGTTAGTCTATCTCTTATAAGGTCCATGATTGCAGCGAAGTCCTCTGATGTTTCACCTGCCGACTGTTGTGCCTCTGGTCTCCCAAAAGAAGCTCTTTCTATGCGCAAACTTGCCACGATGGATGGATGGACTGGAAAGTAGTGGAAGATGAATGAAAATCAGTACCGCTGGAAATTTCATGAAAAGCGCTTCCAGCATGTAAAATAACAGTGCAGACTTAATAGTCTACAAAAAAGGTAACCATGTGGAACATTAAAAAAAAATAAGAAACGCTTTACATTTTAAACATAAACCATCCCGAAATCGTTCAAATGGTTAAACACTCTGTGTATATGCTTCCAGTTATACTGAATTCGTGAAACTCTATTTTTTAAGGATACTTTTTCTCATAATGATATCAAAATAGATGTGGGCAAACATGATCATATTAAAGGACGCTTGTGGGAATAATTAAGGTATACTTGTGGGAAGTCATACACTGCTGGCCATGAAAGAAAGCAAATACGGAAACGATATTTATTGTACGTAAACACTATGGCATGAAAACAAAATGATTATATTTGTAAGCACTTTGGGGTGTTACAGGGGTGCGAAATTAGTAGAAACAGCTGCCACTCTTGGCAGTTTAAACGGCCCTTACCTGGTTAGGCATGGAGTTGAACTGGGCTTGGAAGACAGAAACGAGCTACTATTTCGTGATGCTTCAAGTCTATGCCACACTTCATCAACCGTATTAGCTGGAGAGGGGTAACAGGCTATTCTGTCAGCTGTTTTCCATGAGTGACAGATCTGGAAACTGTTCAGGTCAGGGCAGCAATCGAATACCCTGTGTATCGAGGAAGGTCAGAACACTTCGTGCTACATGTGATTTTGCATTATCTTATTGGAAAATGACATTTGACAGGCCTCGAAAATAAGGAACAACCACTGGACGTAAAATGTCAGAAATGTATCGATCTGCGTCAAATTACCGTCGATTCGAACTAGAGATGTGCGTGTGGTGTACCCAATGGCTGCCTAAACCATCACACCAGGTGTAGCGCCCTTATGCTGATATCAGGCAGGCTATGTGTGATCTCCTTGGAGCCCCCAGATACATATACGGCCATGAGAATGCTGCACGCAGAACCGGGACTCGTATGAAAAGACGACTTCTGCACCAGAATTGTTTGGCGCACCATAATCTCCATCTGTCTCTATGCTGCATTGTCAAGGGAAGCCGAAGCAATAGTCGCCGTGCTGATAGTCCACGCTGTTGCAAACACCGACGCACTATACGAGCGGATAGTGGGCGTGCTGCAAACATGCCCATTTACTGTTTAATGGTCCGTGATGTAGCTGTACGGTTTTGCAGGGCTGACCTCACAATATGTCTGCCCTCTCGGGCTTTAGTCATGAGAGGGAGTTGAAATCATTTATGCCGTTCAGTAGACCCTCAGCAACCCATTGATTCCGTATTCTCCTGAGAGTAGTTGGATGTCGACCAGTGCTATGGGCGATATCATGGAACGATAATCCACACTATCGTTAGGCAACGATCCTGCCTCTGTCGAATTCCGACACTTGCTAGTAAGCATTTCTTATTATTATTCGGGTATAACACGATATTTTTAGCAAACTCCGATCTTACAAAGCGCTTTCCGAATGAGAAATCCAATACACAACTTGTCTTTATGCATTGCTTCAGATGTCGTTTCTCCCGCCTGCGTCCTCTAAATGCGTTGAAATGCTAATTATTTGCATATCCCAACCTCTTCTTTCTTTCATGTGATTTTGACGTTCGTCAGATCATTCCTTCTTGGTGTTGCAATTTTAATGGCCAGCAGTATATACTTCTGAGAGGAATGCGTTTCGCATCCGTAGGCATAAGTTTAGAACAGAATTTCTAATTTGGTATGCCTTAAACAAATTGTGTTTTTTTTCGTAAATTCGCAAAATGTATCCCTTCAAATTTCTGTAGTAGCAGGAAAATTATATGATTTAGCTACGATAAGTAGTGGTGTCGCTAGAACTTTTGCCACTCGGGGCTTTCTCTGAATTTGCATCCCCTCTTGATATACAAACAAATAACTACAACAAACACGCAGGGAAATAAATTAAATATCTGGATTTATTTAGGGGGGACTTTAATTCCAACATATTAAATTTATGTTGTTATTCCAACATATTAAAATTATATTGTTATTTTGCTTGTTTTTTTGTTGTAGAAACTGTCGATGAAATTTATTATTAAGTACTCTACTGTTTATTTCATTGCTCTTGCTGTTGTGCAGACATTAGAGAAAGATTCCTTACGTGTAAAATATATACTTGTAGTTCCCAAATACTTCTTATATGATCTTTATTTAGAAAACGCTTCTTATAACTAGCAACACTTATTAGCAGTCTTGAGGAAAGTTCGCAGTAATGTTGAAATATTTGGAACTTTGCTTTGGAGATCGAATTTTTTATCGTTTTTCCTAGCAATAACGGAAACAAAACTCTTGATATACTTCTTTCTTAACGAGATATTCTTCCTTATAAACATCACCATGATCATAATTTGTTGATATTCTTAATTTGCAATCCAAAATTTCGATGGAATAAAAAATGTTTAACAAAAGTATGTAACTTTTGAAATCCCGTGGTGATTTCTTTGAATACTTTATTATAGAGTAAAAACTCTTTTTCTTCTCAGTTTAATTCCGTATGGAAATTTATAATCTTAATTATTCTTCACCTGCCTCAAAGATCCACCTGACTAACCCGTAGAAAATAATGTTTTTCGCAAAAAACGCCCTCCTAGGTTGACCGCACTCTCAAACTACTCCCCTCCATGAAAGCTTGATTCGCGAATTTAATTCATTCTCGAAGACCGTCTGTATCCCGTAAAGTTCAAAACTTTTATATCCGGTACATTTTTAGAGTTTAAAATTTTAAAATCATAAATGTCAAATGGTGCTTGCTAGGTGTTCAAACCGACCCTCTTTCCAATAGTCTAAAAAGTCGAGCGATTTTCAAAAATTCAGAAATTAAGTTACAATTTTCATACAAGTTTCACTGAAAGATATTTTTTTCAACTGTATTCGATGATGCAAACAATAAACACCTAATATTCTTACCTTGTTCGCTAAACGAAAATAGGTGCAAAAAATCAATTAGACGATAAATAAAAAAAGTCTAAATCAAATTTTGAGAAAATCGCTTTGCCACATTGTATTATCACCGACCAACAGTGCGTGTGCAGAATTTGAACTCCATACCTTATGAGGAAGGACGTTAAAAATGGATGACAAAATTCAACTCGTAGTAAAATGTCATGACGGAACTAAATAGAAGCATTACACAACTTCGAGGAAAATATTGTGCTGGAAACTTAATTTTTATGGAAAATTAAGTCAATCATCCAAAGAGGCTCTGCTTTTATATAATATACTTCAGACAGGATTTCCATTATACTTCTGAGAGGAATGTGCTTTATTGCGTTTCGCGTCCGTAAGAGGGATAAAGGTTTTAGTCTAGAATAGAGTTTTTAATTCGGAACGTAATGAACAAATTGTGCAACTTTTTCTGCCTCCAGATATATATAATGTGTATGATGATATGCTATGATTTAGCTCTGATAAGTAAATTTCCGTTTTTTCATTTCAGAAAATGTAAAAAAATCAGAAGAGATACCTAAAAGTATTCCGTACGAAAGAGGCCAAGAACTCTTCGATTTCATGAACCATCAGAATGAAGATGAAGATAAGAAGGATCCCAACATCTTTACTTTGCCTTCGAACGAGTGGAAACCCGCAGATATTAGCACCGATCCGTCGTCATCTGAAACAGAAAAGAATTTGCCACGAGATGTCAAGAACAAGTTTGGCACTATGTCACGTCACCAGAAAACAACATCTTATTCCATGAACGATCTTGATCTCATTCACCATGGTAGCTCCGTGGGAAACGATCTGGAAACAACCTTCATCTTGCCGGTCAAGAGCGAATCTACCATGTCGTTATACAGGTTGAACGTGGAACGAGACCTAGATCAATTAATGATTAGCCCATCCAAGTCAGAGAACAACGTCAACGGTGACAGTGGTTTTGGTAGTGGTGCCCAGTCTACTAATCCGATTTGGTCCGGATTCTTATGTCGCAAACCATCTGATCCGTTTTGGAACATTCGCAAGCCATCAACTCACGCGGCTGCTGCTGTCACTCCAACAAAGAACTACCCCGGAATTTTACATCCTCGCATGAGGAAAATTCCGTGGATTTCTGCTTGGAAGAAGCTCGATGAGAACAGCGACCGAAATGAAATTAAGAATTCGCATCTGAAAGACAATAAAATGGGCTGGATAGACAATATAACCTACGTAGCAAAACCTGATCCTGCTATGTCAAGTACACGAGACAACCATGTAGGGACAATCCATGAAGAATTGTCTGACGTTAATAGTCCAATATTTAATGAAGATTATAACTTAAATATTTTTGCCAAAGAAAGCGGTGTATTACTAGAAAATGCTTACGGGAAAAATAGTTCGGGACGACTGTGGGGTAAAAGTAAATTTTTACGGGCCTAATGTGCAATATGATTCGAAAGATGACGATTATGGGAATAGTGAAAATATGCTTGAAAACAGGTACGATAAGCCTACGTGTAACACAAATGAAAATCAAGGTAATTTCACAAATTACAGCCGAAAAATCGAAAACATCTATCAGCCTCTTAATGCGGTGGTTCATAAAGATAGCGTAGGACCTGGTTTAGATGATAACTGTACGAATAACGTGCAGTCACAAGCTATCGAGAGTACCACAGGCGGTGATTATAGCAGTGACTTATACAAATGTGAGCTAAGACTTAACGGAGGCCATTACGAGAATCTGTTTGGTACCAAAGAAAATATTTTCGCTCAGTGTGAAGATTACAAGGATAGATCTAAGTCAGGATTGGTCGCAGAAAGCAGTAAGTTGGAAAGAAGAGGTAGTGAACGAAGAGAAAGTGGGAGACTGAAAAAAGACACACATCTCGTTTTTCAACCAGAAGTGGATTCTGTTTATGGTCAGTTAAAGAAAGTAGAACGCAAAGAAAGTTTGGTTCGTAAAAAGGAAGAGTTTCCCGAACTGCATAGCAAAGAACTGCCCCGAAAGGAAAGTGCTGATAACAGAGGTAATAAGTGTGGCATCAAAAGAAAAGAAAGCAAATCTCGGAACGATAAAAAAGCTGACGCTTGCTGGAGCAAGGACACTTCTGAGAACACGTATTTAAGTGGTGATTTGGGCAGTAGCAACGTAAAATCGATTCCACCCAGAATCGAAATCGAAATGAAGAATGTGCCCAATAAAAACGACTTGAATTTGGACAACAGATTTACCAAAAATGAAAACAGCGACGAAACACGTTGCAGTCTGCTTCGACGCGAAAGCCAGAACCGCAGGATTCGAGACAATAACACTGATGCAAGCCAACCGAAGCATGATGGACTGAGCAGAAGAGGCTCCGCAGCTCAAGAGCACGATAAAAGAGCTAAGTTGGATCGTAAAGAAAGCAGAGAAAAGGATAGGCTATACAACAGAGAACGGAAGTTCAATTTCGAACGAAGAGACAGTGGCAGGGAGGTATATTCAGACAACAAAGACGGCCTTTGGCAATGTAAAGTCGACAGCAAAGAAACTGGCAAGTCTATAAACGTGGAACGCAAAGAGAGTGGTAAGAGGGACAGAAAAGACAATTCTTGTCAAGTGAATGTTCAACGCAATGACAGCGGTAGGAAAGAATTCGGCGGCTTTGAACAAAGATACGGTCTACACAGAAGAGAAAGCCAAGTTAAGAAAAACAGTGACGTCAAAAACGAAGGCTTGTGGGTAAATGCAACTCCTTTTCACATTCAACCTTCGAACGGAAATAAAGATGAATTAAACGGGAATGCCACTCGGAGAGATAGTCGGAAAGATGCTTTTGACATGCACCGTTCCCCTCGTAAAAATAATTTAACCAGAAAAGAGAGCAAAAACAGAAATGATAAACCAGGCGAGTACCAAGTCAAGAGAAAGGTGAGCGCCAACAGGGGCAAGAAAGAGCATGATGTTGGAGGAAGCAAAATCCCTAGAAGAGAGTTCAGCAATTTGCCGAAATCGGATTCGAAATGGAGCCAACCACAACAAAACGATATAAATTTCGATGATTTTGCCAAATATCGTGAGAAATGTGAGGACAATTTTAGTCACATTCAGAACCTGAATCGAGAAACCTCTGCGGAGAGAGAGAGTTCCAGAGTTGACCAAGTCATAACTTACGGAAAACTCAACGGTAATGTTTCGCACAATGACGAAGTTTATCCTTTTGACACCTTTCAAGAGCAGAGAAGAGCGCAGTTCACTCCCAATCCGAAGCCAGTTTATGACATCAATGAAAATTGTAGGCAGAAAAAATTAGCCATCACCGATTTCCTTTAACCACTTCACCGTTTGCCTCGAGACTAACCCCTCGATCAAAAAAGTGTCTTCACGAGTCAGTAACGGCTTTAATGGAATTCTGGCTTTCAGAAGAAGAAATTTTTCTTCTTCTTTCCAGATCCGTAGAAAATACTTTAGAAGGGCCTGACGTATGAAGAATCCGAAAGGGGAAGTTCTCACGAGTTAAATGTGGCCTGGATCGTTACCCTGAGAGATACTCGGCGCTTCGTCCCGAGAGACACTTATCTTTCGTTGGTCGAAACCCTATAGAATATAACGAAAATAAAAATGTGTCTTAATTATAAAAAGAGGTGTTATATGTCCAAATTTGTCACGCTAAAGTTCATTTAAAAAGACGGAAAATAGGAATGCACTTCTACCCCTTTTCAGCTAGCATTGCAACGGAATAACTGCTGACTTGAAACTTGAGAGGATACCTTTAGGGGATCGGTTTTGTTATTTTTCAGGTAAGATACTAGGGGACAGAAAAGATTTTTTTTGCTAGGTATGGAGACACGATATTCAACATCCTTGAGTGTGACAATCAAGCGGTTTTCTAAACAAGCCTTGACAGCTGGTGAAATAGAGGAAACATTTCTAAGCCCAATTTCATGGGTAAATCACGTTATCTTTGGAGAAAAAAAAGCAAATATTTGAGTTTTGTAGGACGGTGAAGTGGTTGGCAAGGTCATACATTTTTGTGATATTGAAATTGATGTATGAACTTTGATAAGTGGCTGCAATATCTGAGATATTCACTAATATACAACACATTTTAACTACTTAATTATCTATACATGCATATATATTTTTAAATTTGGAATCCTTACGACTTCCTGATTCTCACAAAATGACTGTCTCTCTGGCAGTGACAAACTGGACAATTTTTTTATATCATGAAAAAGCATTGTCGACATAAAAGGACAAAAAGTGTTTTCATTTCAAAATATTTTATAAATATTTATCTGCCTCTATAGTGTTGTAAAATTGCGAAATTAAATTTCATTTGTACATTGCAGTGATTCTCTTTCGATTAAATGGATTATAAGAATACTTTCATTTCTGTATTATTTTTGTCCCAACACATTTTGCACGACGCCATTTCAAGGAGAAATCCAAAACACATAACACATGCAGATGAATCATTTTCGAAAAAACGAGAAAAATATTCTTAGTTTATTTCGGAGTGTTCTTATGTATCTAAAAGCTTATGACAAAGTCTTGTAGACACCACTAGATTCACAGCGAGTTATCGCTCCTTCTGAAACAAATCACAGTCTAAAGAAATTAAAATAATTTTCCTTAAGTGAACAGAAAAGCACAGCTGGCGCGACAAACAAAATTCCGCTACTTGCGGGTATTCAAATTTCCATAATAGAAATCTAGGTAACGTAGTCGGAATAGACTACTCGAGTTGGCTCAGATATTACACGGCGCGTATTTTAAAACACCGCCCAGCAAGACGCTAAAGCCAGAATTTTCATTCTAAGGAGGACTAACTTAGAGTAAGTAACAGCAAAACGCTGTTGTCAGAAGTTCCAATCTAAACATTCAAAACTCTCATCTTAAATACACGAAAACAACTAATTTGCATTCTAAGGAGGACTACAGAAAGAAGCTAAGAGTAAAGGATTAAATCATAATAAATTGCTTAATCAACATAAATATAATTAATAATTTTAAAGCATCAAATTTTAAAATTTGTCACCTCACATGAATGAGTCCTGACCTCAGTTATGAAGAGGAACATTGTAAGAAGGAAGGAGAAAAGGGCGAATAAAAGACTCGAATTTTGTAAGAATGAACTCATCGGCAGTAGATAAACCTACAATGAGCTAACGTAAATAATAGTAAAGTAAAATTACATGTTTGGAACGTTTCTCAAATACCTAGCACATCCGGGTAACTTAACGAAGAAATTTGCTGAAAATATGTTTCAAATTAATAAATACAAAGGAAAATGAAATGGATAAAATGCTAAAACAAAAATGCAAATATAAATTGACACACACTGAATAAAAATAATAAAGGAAATACAATTTTCTAATAAACTAACCCTCGAGTGGGGACTATGTAGAATAGAGGAACGGGATATATTTTTAAGATTTTCAAAACATTAGAAAACCTAGCCGGGAAATGCGGTATTCTTATTTTTGTTATCGATTTGAAACAAATCTTACAAGATTTCCATACAAGATTTCCACTGAAAGATTCAGTAGAATGTAAGCATGACTTAACTTCTCAAATTAGAACTGCCGAAGCCTTGAGAAAAGCCGTCAGGAAACAGGAACCAAAAATAAATAAATAAGTTAGTAAATAAAATAATTAATAAAATTAAAATTCAATGAAATGTAAAATGATACATAAAGCTTTAATGAATGCTTAAATTAGTGATAAGAAATTAAATAATAAAATACCGGACTTCGTCCTATTTGAGCCTCCGGTTCATTTAAAAAGTAGGAAATTAGACAACCGAGCTCGAGCTGAATTTCAGAACTTAGTGCACAGTATAACGTAGTATTTCAAGGGATGATGAAAGAAATTTCGTTTTCCAGCCCATTAATGAGAAAAGACAAAATTGTTAAAGCTTCGCTAATGAGACTAGAAAATATGAGAGAACTAAGAACAGTGTGAGAGCACGGGAAGCAATTTTAATGGAGATGTCTAGGTGTGAAAACAAAGAAAGAAGAATCTAGCACATTTTGACCACGATCCTCTACCGACGTAATTCTAGTTCTAAAGGAAAATGTGAAACGGAAAAAAAAAATTGCCCTTAAATCAGAAGATTGATACTCAGGTTGACAACAAACGTTATGTTCTGCCCATGTCCCGTATCTGAGTGTAAAAAGTCTGCACGTTCTCTTTTTCATGGCAGGTCACAATTGTTGGATGATCACAACCAGATGTACTTTCTGGAACGAAAAATTTACTATCATAAATTCATTACTGTCCTTGAAGAATAAGTCTTTGATATGTTAGTCGGGTCTTTTTCTTTCTTCAAAAGTCCCAACCTCCGTCAAAGGGTTTGTTTCCCGGGGAAAAATAGGAATGTATTCAGAAATTAGAATGGATATTTAAGGCTTACGTATTATTAAAGTAAAATTTCCAAGATCAAAAGGACTTTCTGCTCAAATAGCGGTTCAGTTGCATAAAAGAAGTGCCGAAGCCATTCAAGGCTCTGGCTTGAATTAGATTTGTCTCAAAAATTTGAGAAGTACCGCAATTTTTAATCTTTGAGGATTAAGTATGCAAAGAACTAAAGGTATTCCTCCTG